GGAGCAGATGCGCAAGTGTAGGCATAGAGCCGAAGAGCAGGAGAACGGGGAGAATGATGGGGAGAAGGGGGGCAAGCCTGCCGTCGAGGAGCTCCACGCGCTGCTGTCTGCTTGCGTGAAGAGCAACTTTGTGGGGGTTGAGAACCCGAGGTTGTACAGTCAGACGTACTACGGGACGAAGAATTTGGTGCAGAACTTTGTCGACGAGGGTAAGCGTTCGCCAGTGATGGAGTGGAAGTCATAAGCTAACGTGGAGTAGTTGAGAGGAGCATCAAGTTTGTTCTGAACACGCAGCAGCTTACCATGGAGGAGAAGAGGAGCATTTTCAAGGGCATGTTTAACAACTACGGCCGGACGGCTCTTTGTCTATCTGGTGGAGCGTCATTCGCGTACTATCATTTTGGTGTCGTCAAGTCTCTCCTCGAGGCGGATCTCCTGCCCGAAGTCATCACCGGCACGAGTGGTGGCGCCCTCGTCGCTGCCCTGGTAGCCACTCGCACCAACGACGAGCTCAAGAAATTACTCGTCCCGGCCCTAGCGGGTAAAATCACTGCCTGTCGCGAGAGCTTCACGACTTGGATCCCCCGGTGGTTGAAGACGGGCGCGAGATTTGACTCGGTCGACTGGGCCAAGCAGTGTTCGTGGTGGACCCGCGGCTCGATGACGTTCCGCGAAGCGTACGAGCGCACGGGGAGGATCCTGAACGTCTCCTGCGTCCCGGCCGACCCGCACTCGCCCACGATCCTCTGCAACTACATCACGTCTCCTGACTGCGTTATTTGGTCTGCGGTGCTGGCCTCGGCCGCCGTCCCCGGCATTCTGAACCCCGTGGTGCTGATGATGAAGCAGCGCGACGGAACGCTGATCCCGTACTCCTTTGGCCACAAGTGGAAGGACGGCAGCTTGCGGACGGACATCCCCATCAAGGCGCTCAACCTGCACTTTAACGTAAACTTTACAATCGTGAGCCAGGTCAACCCGCACATCAACCTCTTCTTCTTCAGCTCCAGGGGCAGCGTAGGCCACCCCGTCACGCACCGCAAAGGCAAGGGCTGGCGGGGCGGATACGTCATGTCCGCGGTCGAGCACTACCTCAAGCTGGACATGACCAAGTGGCTCAAATTCATCCGGCACGCCGAGCTGCTGCCGCGTCCGCTGGGACAGGACTGGAGCCAGCTGTTCCTGCAGCAGTTCTCCGGCACCATCACCATCTGGCCCAAGACGCAGCCGTCGGACTTCTACCACATCCTCTCAGACCCCGACCCGCCGAGGCTGGCGCGCATGATCCACGAGGGCCAGCAGCGCGGGTTCCCGATCTTGAAGTTTGTCAGCAACAGGCTCAAGGTCGAGAAGGTCATTGAGCAGGGCCGGCGGGAGACGAGGCCGTGGATCCGCAGGGGCAGCATCGAGACCATTCTGAGCGAGGACGACCTGAGGAGTCTGTTGATTAGTGGGGCGACGGACGGGGAGGAGGACACGACGGATGCCGAGGGCGAGACGTTGCTTGAGCTAGAGGAGGAGGCTATTGTTGATGGAGACGAAGATGAAAAGTTTGAGAGGAGGTAAGTGTAGGATAGAAGATGGGGTGCGACACCCTTTGGGTTTTTGGGAATAGGGATGGGAGGATTGTAGCATAGCTTGGCGTTGCCTTTAATACCTGACAACTGGATTTTCCTGCTAGTGCTTTTCTTGGTTCAGGTGTTTGACAAGGCCTTCGACGGGATCATCTTTGGCATCGCAGGCCAGCCTCCAAGGTGCGTGTTTACAGAGGCACGTTGAAGATATGAATCATTCCCGTGTCTTCTGTCAGAGTCTCAGGACAAATGGAAAAGGGAACTCCTCGGCATTTAAGCCGCCTAGTCTAAAGTTGTCGACAGACATGGGACTCAGGGCAGCGTTGCCACATCACTCTCGGCAATCTCTGTGTTCAGGATGAGTATCCTCAATGGATGTATTCTGCTCTTTCTTTTCCCTTCTTGGGAGAACAGAATATTCGCGCTTCCACCCTGGCCGGCTATACAAGCAATGAAACTTATGCGCTCATGTCTCCTTGCCAAATCTTGCTGGACGTCATGGTGGTTTATGCTCTCGAGGTGGTGAAGTATACACCCTTCAGACAGTTGGGGAGCCGCGCGTAGTTGCAACCATCTGAAGCTCGCCGGCTCTTTGAAATGATTCATCGTCAGCTTATTCTATAAACTAATACACGGGCATGAAGAGAGACACGGATGGATAACCGACAGGAGGTAGCCATCGTAGCCGGGGTCCAGCTGTGCCTCCTGGCTACTGCGGCCAAGTATCAACAGAGTTGATCAACTGTGCTATCACTGGGCCATAACGCAGGCAACGATTGTGCTCGAGGAGTTTGGAGCTGGCAATCACGCGCACTTATTTATAGTGATGGAGGCTGGTTGGTTATAGTTGTTCCGGCCATGAGGCAAGATACGCGAACGGCATTTCAACCGAGTGAGCAGGCTCGGTGTAACGCTGGAATGACCCTTGCGGCAGCTTGTACAGCACGCTTTGGCTTTTTCGATCAGGAGCGTCTGTAGTGGATTGCTCGACGCGCTGTTCCAAGATGACGAGGGACAGAAAAGGGGCAAATAGGGGTCGACGTAGGAAGTTGGCTTGCATTGCTGGTAGCGGACAAAACTTGAGAGAAAAAAACGTCTGAGAGTGCTTTCACCGTGGTTTTGAGTAGCTTCCGACTCAATTGATGTAAGACAGATACATTATTATCTACTGCTCTGTTCCGATGCCTCTTTCAGTGTTTACACTGGAGTCGTCAACGGCATACAGGTGGGATAGAAGGGATGGACGCGACATGCTCCTGTTCCAGCGAGACGTACTTGTCGTTGCGAAGTTGTGGCTCACATGGGGAGAATAATTCTGGTGTTGCTTCGCATCTCATAGCTGGAAAATGACTTGGTGACGTCGGTCACATTGCTGTGGGAAGATTTTTCCCTACTTTTCCTTGAAGACCAGCAGTATTCTATAGACTCTACGAGTGAGTTGGACGGTAACTTCCCAGGTATACCAGATCTCGGAAATCTTTCTAGGGATTTCAGCTTGGGTATTCCAGCACATACAGACCGTCATGGATATGAAAATGTCGTCACAAGACAAAGGTGTCTCGCTACCCCAGTTTGTAAAACACTCTCTGGCTACAAGACAGCCTGCGAGAAAATAGACCCGTAAAATAAACATTGACATCGTAGACCTGGAGGCTACTTTTGCTGCTTGCTCATCTGCTGCAATTACGAGATAGCGCTTTCTCGGCCCAAGGCTTTCAAATCAAGATGCCCTTGTGTTACAAGTTCTAGGAGCAAAAAGTAGGAGCATTTGCGAAGAAAATCAGAACAAAAAGTTGGCAAAAACAAAAGGTACACGCCCAGTTGAACTGCGCGTCTCGCGAGCTGACCAGCCAGGCCCCGATCGAGATATTTCTTTTGCCTAACCCCGCGGTGGTTTTACCAACTAGACCACTTGGCCTAGCTGAACTGATCGTTGGGAAAGTTCCATGCAGTTTCGTACATGAAGGTTACTTGCGTGGGAAGAGAGAGTTCGGGCGGTGCTCTCCAGGTTCTTGTCTCTCACGGCCGCGGCGATGCGTGGGTAGAACCTCAACGGCCGAACCATGAGAAAGGAGAACTATCCCACCCTTTTTGGCTCGACACCACCTTCCAGAACTATACGACTGCGTTAGAAATTTTCACTACTGATTACAAGACGTTCACATACCTGTCTGGAAAGGTCTGGCTTTTGCTTGAAAACGCCATTGAAATGCCTCGTACAACCGAACACAGGATTCGCGGTCAACAATATGCTGTTCCAAGAGTTGGCAGTCCTGAATCACTCGGATAAGCTTCAGGATAATGCTGAGCAACCGTTTCCAAAGAGAATATGCCGCAGAGAGTTTGAAGACGATGCGTGAAAGTGTGACATGACAGGCAACCTGGAGTCTCTGCCTCTTCGTCTTTGACTCATCGCAGGTGATAATTCTCAGGAATACGGCCTCTGTCAGGGTAGCAACCAACCACTAACAGGCAATTGAGGCCATTGATACGCAAATCGCTTTCTGTATGAATTGAGTTGACGCTAACGAGTCCGGAGTTAGAATCGTTGAGATACGGCGGATGAAGTTCCCTCGGGCACGCCAGTCCGTTAAGTGGCTTGCTTCGACGTTGAGTTGAGCAGGGGTTTGAGATGCCATGGCAGGGGTTAGAGTTGTGATGGATAGCAAATGAGAATGCTTACCAACATAGAGCATCGAGTGAATGTTTGTCTCTAGTCACTAAAGGAGACAACTGATCTTTGCCAGTTGCATCCCAGAGTCTCCAAGCCAACTCACCAAAGTGTTATTATTAGATGCATCTCGACAAACGACGGGTACCTGAACGCCCTGGACGAAATAAAAGAGTGGGCCAGCCGGAGCTAGCCAACAAGCTCAAAACGGCCAGGTGCAATTAAGGTCCAAGTTGGGGAAGGACAGATAATCCATTTGCCGGGCCGGAGGCGAAAGCAGCCAGGCCACAGTGGTACTTCATAAGGGCCAGTGGTGGGTGGGTCTCGTAAGGCGCACTGACTGGACACTGAGCCGTAACCCCCCTGTCCGGAATCTACCACCGCAGTCTTTCGAGGCCACGATTGTCAAAAGAAAGTGACTGACCAGCAGCGCAGACGGCCAACGGACACTTTTGCTTCCTCAGCCCAGAGTTGTCTCCCGCTACACGGCACAACCCAACCCACTGCACAGCGCCTGCTGTTCTTTTCCCTCAGGGTTTCTGTATTCTTCTCTTTTTTTCTAGTCTGTCTGCTGCATCGACACGACTGTTTCTCCGTGCCGGCTACGCCGCTCGTTCCTCTTACTTTTCTCGCATCTCCCGCGACACTCTCTTTGACGTGGCATCTTCATCGCGACACCACAACCGCCCAGCAGCTGCTCCAATCCCGCCTTCGCCCACCCGTCCCAGAGCTCTCGAGCTCGCCACGCCGTCAAGATGAGTTCCGACTACTCGTACGACTCCGAGGCGCAATTCTACCCCTTCTTCATCCTCGCCCTCAGCAGCATCATCACGCTGCCCCTCGGCTACACCCTTCTCTTCCCCTCCAAGGACATCGAAGCGAAAGCCCCGCGCATTCAGAGCGACTACAAGCCCGAACATGCCGACCTAATCGAGAAACAGCGCAAGGCGCACGAGAAGAAGCAGCGCCGCATCGTGCGCGTCATCTTTGTTCTCGCCGGCCTGGCCCTCATGGCCGGCATGGTCTACCTCATCCTCCACGTCCAGACCGTGACCCCCAAGATCTGGAACCCCTATGACATCCTCGGCATTTCAGACGTACGTACAACCGGCCGCGATACAATTACCCAGCACTAACAAGCTCCCAGTCCGCCGACGAGAGACAAATCAAGAAGGTCTACAGGAAACTCTCCCAAAGACTGCACCCCGACAAGGTCAAGCCCGACCCGGCCAAGAACGAGACCATCGAATCCCTCAACGCCGCCTACGTCGAGATCTCCAAGGCCTACCAGGCGCTCACCGATGAGGAGGTCCGCAACAACTACATCCAATATGGCCACCCCGACGGAAAGCAGAGCTTCAGCATCGGCATTGCGCTCCCCAAGTTCATGGTCTCTGACGGCAACGGCAAGTACGTCGTTCTCGCCTACACCCTGCTCCTCGGCGTTCTCCTGCCTTACCTCGTCGGATCCTGGTGGTACGGCACCCAGCGCATGTCCAAGGACGGTGTCCTCATGGAGAGCGCCAACAACCTGTTCCGCGCATACAAGGAGGACATTGACGAGGGTGGTGTTGTGACTGCCCTGAGTCACGGAAAGGAGTTTGAGAGTGTCCTCAAGGGTGACAAGGCCGAGTCTGGCCTTTCCAAGCTCGAGTCCAAGCTGTTCGCCAACGCCGAGAAGGCTGGTCTGTCGCAGAAGGACAAGCAGGCTCTGGAGGATCTCGACAGCGGCGTCCGCCGCAAGACCCTAGCACTTCTCTGGTCCTACCTCGGTCGCATCGATCTCGAGGACCCTGCTCTGAACAGCGCCAAGTATGAAGTTGCCCCCATCGCCCACGCCCTCACCAGGTCTTTCTCCTCCATCGCCCAGGCTTACGGTAGCACCGGCCCCATCTTGGCCGCGTACTCCGCCAGCCAGCACCTGATCCAGGCCACGCCCCCCAAGTCGTCCCCTCTCCTCCAGCTTCCCCACTTCAACCAGGAGATCGTCAATGCCGTCGAGGGCGGCGACGAGAAGGTCCACGTCTCCCTCCAACAGTTCATGGATCTCCCCGACACCCTCCGCAGAAACCTGACGGTAAAGAAGGGTCTCCTCACCGAGGAGCAGTACAAGACCGCGCTCGACGTCTCCAGGCAGCTTCCCCAACTCCGCGTCGCCAAGGCGTTCTTCAAGGTCACCGGCGAGCGCTTCATCATCCCCTCGTCTCTTGTCACCCTGGTCGTCAAGGGACGCATCATCCCCCCTGGCAGCGAAAACGTCCCCGAGATCGACGAGGTGGATCTGGAAGACATTGACCCCGCGGAGGACGACCTCGAGGCTTTCCTGGGCCGCAAGAAGAAGACTATCAAGGGACCCGACGGAAAGGCCATCCCCGTTGACGACAAGCCGATCCTGCCTCCCCTCGCCCACTCCCCGTACTTCGCTCGCGACCATGCCCCCAAGTGGTACGTCTTCTTGACCGACTCCAAGCAGGGCAAGATGGCCGTTCCTCCCTTCACCTTCACCCAGTTCGACCAGCCCATCTTCGGCGAGGATGGCAAGCCCACCTTCAACATGCAGACCCTCAAGGCTCAGTTCGCGGCACCCCCTCAAGCCGGTCATTACACTTTCGTTATGCACGTCGTGTGCGATAGCTACGTCGGCTTCGACACCAAGATGGAGGTAACCTTGGTGGTTGAGGAGGCGGACAAGGCTGCTGCCATGGCTGCCGAGGACGAGATCAGCGAGCCTGATGAGGGTAAGTCACCTGAACATTCACACAAAACATGCAAAGCTAACCAACCTGCAGACTCGATAGCCGGCCAGATGCAAGCCCTCAAGGGTGGAAGCGTACCTGGTGCCACCAAGCCCCGCAGGAAACCCGCCGATGATGACTCGGATGAGGAGAGTGGCACTGATGACGATGTTGAGGACGACACGAGCGCGACAAACACGGACACCGAGGACGAGTCATAAGGGCTTCTCCCCCGTGCAAGGAAGAGCCCGGTGAGCGGGCGTGTATGAATGTGCAATAGTAGAGAAAAGAAAAGGCAAAGAAATCAAGGAGTGGTAGGACTCGCAAACAATATACCCCAAGTCACAACTTCAACAACCAACATCACACCAAATGTGGCTGGGCTTGACGCTCGGCGATGGATACGAATACGGATGAGATCGTACTTGTAGGCGGACAGGTCAGGGGCGAAGGGGTGAAGGGGGGCAGACGTATGTCCTGTGCATAGGGTGGCAGACACACCCATCAAGCGTACATAGATACAACCGGCGTTGTTCAGGTAGTTGTCGTGGGCTCTCTTTCTGGTTTGATTAATCTATGAGCAATTTTTTGGTAAACTGTATCAAATGGCGGTTCAATTCGCTTTCAATGCTGTTGTCATGCTGTATCCACGATTGATACCCAGCAGAGGCATTGATGATGCCCTACTACTGCTCCATTGCACAGAACGTCAAATCAGCGCAGCCGACTCGTTTATAAACGCCCATCGCCGCCTTAACCTTTGCAAATGCAACATTAAAAACACAATATCATTTACAACGATTCCCCCCTTCGTCTCAACATGTGCTCCCTCCAAGCATCCGGGTATTTATTTTTGAACAAGTATTCAGCCCGCCAGCCGCCTGCCTTGCTCTTATAACTCCGTCCATTCCGCCGCGCCGCCCCCAAACACAGATACTTTATTTACTCACTAAGCGCCTGGAGTGCCTGGGTCAGGGGCACCACGCGCAGACTCCTCCCTCGCTTCAAGGGACTTGAGCTTCCGCTCCTCACGGGCATGATGGTCGGGCTGGCCTCGTCCCGCCACTTGCGGAAGACGCTCTTGAGGTCCTTGGGGATACCCTCGAGGACGACCGTGGAGATGGGAATAAAGGGGCGGTCTTCCATGCCGCTGGCCAAGATGGCATACTCTTGTGCGAAGTCGAGGGCGATGCGGAACGAGCTGTACTGACTCTGGGCGAACTTGCCCACAATGATGTACATCTCAAAGAAGGCGTCCAGGACGTAGATCCCTGAGGGGTCCAGGTCCGCTTGAGTGAACGGGGCGATTTCGACGACCTGAATTTCGTTAGATTGGATACCAGAGCTGATCCAGGAATTGCATCATCTTACCTGCTGCTTTGAAGCCGCGTTAGACCGGAACAGGCGCTGACAGTACTTGTCGTAGCTCGGCTTCAAGCGCCAATGGTCCGCGGACGTGGCCTTCGAGCCGCCGTCGAAAATGTCCCAGAAGCTGTCCGGCTCGCTGCCGTCGTCGATCTCCAGGAGCTCGCCCGTCAAAGTCAAGTCCATACCTATGAGACGCGCGCAACTCTGCTCGTCCACATCACTACCCTTGCCCTTCCACAGGTAGCACTTTCCTGAGGTTGCGATCAGGAAGGGGAATCCTGAGCAGAGGCTCGCCGAAGACAAATCGACCTCGTCAAATACAAAGGTGTGTTGTCCGAGGGTACGACGGCCGCAGAGCATGCTAGGCGCCAGAGAGTCGTACTTGGTGCTGGTGCCCCGGCGAATGATAATCATGCCGCCAAGTGCCAGGATGAATTCAGGGGTTTCTCTCCCCTGGCGCATCCTCACAACCTTTCCGCCGAGAGACCTGGCTTCCCGGTTCACAAACAGAGAGGCATCTTCGGCAGTGGCGTAGGGCACCTCATCGCCGGCCCAGAAGTACACTTCCGTTGCCTTTCTGCCGGTTTCGTTTGTGAAGGTAAAGGCGCAGATGTACATTTCCCGCTCAAACAGGATGCGCTCGTTATGCGCCGGCACGGGGATCTTCTTGCCATCGCCAGTGATTTGGAATAGCCGACCGCCCTGGCCCTGGATGTTGCGAGCCTGGGGCTTGTTCATCAGGATTTCCGCAGTATCAACCCGGAACTCTCTCTGCGGTCTCGGTGTGCCGAAAAAGTCATCCAGCATGGTCGACACATCCGGTCCCTGTTTGGTCGGAGATCGCATCGGCGATGTTACGGGCGTAGGGGAAGATGGCTTCGGAGGGAGCGGCAGTGGCCTGGCTGCGGCCTTCGGGGTGCTGGTCCTCTCCACAGGAGGCGCGGGGTTTTCAAAGCGGGAGATGTTCTCGACAGGAGGCGAGTTCAGTGGCGACCTCACAGGTGATCTCATGGGGGGAGGCGACTTCACGAGCGGCGGCGACTGTGCCACGGATCCTCCAAACATGGCGGTGGCATTCTTGACAGACACGACTGGCTCGCTGTCGACCTTGTCGTTCGATGCCATCTTCAGAGGTGAGCTAGGCCGCGACAGGCGGAGAGGCGCCACATGAGGGCTGTAGTCATTCGGGGGCGGGGATCTGATGGGAGATCGAACTGGCGACCTGGAGGTGGGTTCAGGCAACGGCCGCGCCCCGAACGTCTTGATCGGAGTGGGCTGCGCGGGCTCCTCGCGGGGTTCCGCAAACGACTTGCGCGGAGAACTGGGCCTGGGCTCTGGTAGAGGCCGTCCAGAAGTCTTGACAGGGGAAGCTTCCTCAACCTTCTGCGGTGTAGGGCTAAGAGGCTTCTCGAAGACCGGCTTGGGCTCGAACCTCGGCGTAGAAACGGGACTCTCCTTCTTGGGGCTGCTTGGTTGGGATATCTCCCTTGCGGGACTATCAGGCTTGGGGCTCTCCTTTCTCGGGCCTTCCCTCTTGGGACTCTCGGCCCTCTTTGGACTTTCGGCCCTCTTGGGGCTCTCAGGCTTGGGGCTAGCCTGGCTATTGTCATCCAGGAATATCGACATCCTCTTCATATCCAGCTTCTTAGGCGACGTGGGCTGGGCGGTAGGCTCAACCGGCTTCTCCTCCTGAAGCTTGATGGGGGAAGACTGAAGCTTCATGGTAGGGGATCTTGACCTGCGGGTCGGTACGGGTTCACCGTCTTTGGGGCTGAAGACTGGCTTCTCTGCAGACTTTTCGGCTGGCTTTTCAGGTTCTTCGACGGGTTTCTCGAACGACTTGAGAGGAGCCGGCCGGCTCTTCAAAGCCGCTTGAGCAGCGACTTGGGCATGGATCGAAGGAGGCGCTTCCTTCACCGGGCTCTTCTTGGGCTCCTCCATCACGACCGGTTCTTCATCCTTGACCGGCGAAGCGGGCGCCGGGCTTGACTGAGACTCCACAGGAGCGGCGGCCTTTGTAGGAGCCTTTCTCCTCGGACCACGAGCACGGCCCTTGGTCATGTGTGTCAGCTGCGGGCCCGGTGCCGTGGGCTCTGAAGCCGAGGCGCCGGAACCCTCCGACTTTTCAGAGTCTTTCCCTCCGGCCATGGGTGGCGGGCCGCGAGCCAGAAGCCCGGCAAGCGCAGGGTTGAAACGGTTTGCAAGTCCACCAGCCGCAGCGCGGCCTTGCAGGCGGGCCGGGGGACTGGTCTCTTTCTGAAGACCAGGGGAGGTGACCGAGCCGGTGGGAGACTTGATCGATTCCGCCGGAGACTTGAATGACGGCGAGGGCGCCGCGGAGTCATCCTTTGGCTCGTCTCTCGACATGGACTGAGGCCGCCCGCTGACAGATTTGCGATGTTCAATCGTGTAGTCTGACATGTCTGGCCTGGAGGAAAGAGATTTGCTAAATTCAGCCTTCTTCAGCAGGGCCTCAGGCACCGGTCTATCGGCCGCGTTGGATTTACTGCGAGCGATGCCTCTGCCTTGTTCTTGGGCGGCCTTGAAATCTTCCTTCTTCTTCAGGATTGCATCCTTGAACTCGTCCTTGCGCTCGCTGGGCTTGGGGCCACCGGTAATGTTGAGACCTGCTTTTCCGCGCAGGATATTACCCTTGAGCTCATCCGGTGCAACGTAGTTTTGAGTCTTGGTTCGACGCAGATTACCAAAGACGTTTGCTAGTTCGTTAGGCTGTTCCTTGGATGACCCTGCATCGCCAGAGGGGTTCCGAGACTTGAGGCCAGCACGGAAATCCTTCTTTGGTGGGGTCTCGGGCTTGACCTTTGCAGCGGCAGGGCTGTCACTGACTGACGATCGTTTCGGGATATCTCCAATTTCTCCCTCAGGTTTGGCGTCATTGATCGGACTCTTGATTTGACTGTTGCGGAAGCTGCTTCCACTGATGCTGCCGCTTGATCTATGTGAGGTCTCAGTTGGTGGTGTAAAGATGCCCTTCAGCCCACTGACAGAGGGCTTGGAGGTATGGCCGCCCATGGGTGATGACCGCATGAGCCCGCCAATATTGACTTCGTGCTTTTGGGAGGAGACTGATCCGGCTCGCCCAAGATCAACACTCCCACTGGCAGCCTTTTGCGCCTTTGCTTTGTTCAGCTCGACCATCCACGCCGGTTGATTCGTCGTGGGCGGCGGCTTTGGCTTCGGCGACTCTGGCTTGTTCAGTGCTGTCTCCAGCCAGCTAGCTTTGGTTGGGCTCCATCTCCTGGAATCCATGGTCTTGGACGGACTTGACGGTGGTGTCACCTTGTCCTCATCGTCTTCGGTTGGCTTCGGATCCAGATGGGGATCGGCGACAGGTGCTTTGGGTGTGGTTTCCAGATCAGTTTCTTCTTCTGTAGGACCATGGCGAGAAGCAGGACGAGAGGCGTGGCGAGACGCAGGACGAGAACGGGAACGAGCTCTGCTTGTGCTCGTAGGAGTGGATGCTCCATCGCGAATAACCATACTTTGTGGCCGTGATCGGGACTCGCCAGTCCGGCTTGAAGCGGCAGAGTCGGCACGGACGAGCCCAGTAGGTGACGTGACACTCCATCTCTTTACACTATCTGACCTCTTCATCATGGCACTCTGCACAAAGCCGCCCATGCCCTTCGTCGGCGAGACAGGTCTTGTAGGCGATGCGCGTCCTGATCCTGACGACAAGGCCGACGCTCGCTTGTCATTCTCGGGAGAGATCTCGGCGGGGGGGTCGAGTCTTTGCGCGGAGCTCAATGACAGCGGAGATGCCAGGCCTTTCGTGGGGCTCGAACTTTCCGGAGCGAGATCGGTCGATGAGCTGCGGCTCATGCCAGGGAGCTGCTGGCGCATGGCCGACATGTCGGTTGTATCTGTGTCTTCCACTTGGCTCTTGCGGCTGGCGGCGGAGGCAACGCTAGCTCTGTCGGCCGTCTGGCGGAACCAGGAGGGGTCCTTGGATCCCAATGCCTGGGCGATCTGGTCTTTGGAGAAGGACTGCTCGGTTGCGGAGGCGGGGTCAGAAGGCGGGTTTGGCGAGGTCCTCGCAGCGTTCTCGGCGGCAACGACGGAGAGGGGACGGCTCTTGGATCGATCGGAATGTTGCGAGTTGGGACGCCTCTGCCAGGAAAGCGGTCGCGCTCCTTGTACGCTGCCGGTAGGAGAGGTGACGCTCGTTCGCTTGGTATCAGCATCGAAGGGTGAATCGTTCTCTTTGGTGGGAGAGGTGGATGAGAAGCTTTCCATGGTGTCAGAGGCCGTGATACCACGAGATCGAGGGCTTCCGGTGTGTTCGAGACCAGGCGAAGACAGCCTCAGATCATCGGAAAGCTGCGTGGTGTTGCGTTGAGACGAGGGTGGTGGGGTATTGGCCGGGGATGATTTCTGAGGGGAAATGGATCGGGCGCGTTCTGTCAAATGTTGTCAGAAGGAGGGGTTGATGCAATTCTGGCAAATAGCACGGCGAGCGCGACAAGGAAAAAAAACACAATGGCAGATGAGGAAACACAGAAAGCGTGTTGATGATTTTTTTCTGCAGGGCGCAAAGTAGATGGGCAACAATGGACGAAGGCCGTGTGCTCTTGGTAGTGCAATGTGCGTGTGCCCATTGGAGTGCCGTGGGTTGGTGTCAAGGCGTCGAGGCGTCGCCCGCGTCTCGCCCAGTGCGGCGGCGGTCCCGTCAGTAGCTCAGCTTTTTGGTCAAGGGCAACCTGAACCTGAACATAGCACAGCACCGAGCACTCGCGCAGGATGGGCAAGACGCGAAGTAGGATGCGTACCTTGGCCGAGTTGGGAAAAGAAAGCTTACAAAAAGAGGCAAGACACGCAGGTAGGAATAGAACAACAGCAGCACCAGCGAGGGTAACGCAGGTGAGGAGGGACTGCGCGGGAAGTGAGGGACAGACGGGATGGAGACAGAATGAGAGACAAACAGAACAGGTGTCTGGGCTGGGCAGAGCAAAGCAAGGGAAACACAACAACACGTACCGGCACGACGAGCCTGGCGTTCCCTCTTCTCCTGCTGGATCTTCTCGTCCAATTCGCGCTGACGGGCGTCGTCCTCCTCAGTGCGGCGGGCATTCATCTCCTTGACATCCTGCAAAAACTTGGAGACGTCGTCCATGGCTTGTTCCGACATGTCGAAGCGGGAGGCAGAGTCATGACACGATTGCGGTGGGGGAAGAATGGAAACGGGTGGTTCTGTATGCGCAGGTATCCCCCGGTGAGAAGGTATGCCGTGGCAAGGCGAGCAAGCGTGGTGAGGCCCCTTTGGTTGGAGAAGGATATGTTGTCTATTTTTTTCCCTTGGCCGGTGCTCCTCGACGGGACGGGATGAGGTAGGTAGGCGGAGGCAGAGGCAGAGGTAGAGAGGGAGGTAGCGGGATGGGTGCGGTACTGAGCGGGAGGTACTTCGTCACCACCACCTCAGAGGTCCAGTCGAATCTGGGATGGGACGGGATGGGATGGCGCCGCTAACGAGCTGGAACTTGCGTGCGAGAAGCAAGGTACTGGGCGCGGCAGGGTGCAGGACGCTGCTGGAGGTACGGTAGGTTGGTTCCGAGGGTTTGGTGAGGGGGCGCGTGAGACTAGAGGCCTTAGGTAATGCACGAGGTAAATAAGGTCGTGTGGGTGAACGGCGACAGGACGGGACCTGCGTTTGTTGATGAGAGGCTTGAGGCTCAAAGCTAAGAGCAGCAAATGGGAAGCTGACGGCAGAGATGAAGGAAGCAGGTTTTTGGACTCGTCAATGGCCGATGCGAACGACTGTTGCATCCCGCGTTGGCGACCCCGACCTTTCTGCCTTGGGGCCCTAGCTACCTTACTTACCTGCGCAGTCTGGCCAGGGACACACATATGAGAATGAATGCTACGTCCGCCGAATACCTTTGCCCTGTCCTTGGTCTAGCCTTGGCTGCGAAGACTGTACCGTCAGGCACTGGTCACAGATGACAGCCCAGCACCCCAAATAATTTCACAGAGTTGGGAACAGACGTTGGGCCCATCGTCCGTGTTGATTTCCCCAAGTCTCAGCGCTAAAAGACCAATCTCTCAGAGCTGCTTCTCGTCCATCTCATCCAACGTTCCGAATAACCACAGGTAGAAAGAAGTACAATCCTCTCAGTAACGGCTCATCCAGCTGCACGAAGATCCAGCTCAGCTCGGCTCAGCCAGCCCAAGTCGGCTCAGCGCAGCCACGGAACTCGATGAAAAACAACAAAACACACAAAGGAAGCTCGTAAAAGAGGTACGTACCCGTCTTTCTTTACCTCAGGCAAAGACTGGGCGCTCGGACCATTGGCTTCTCCACACTTGCAACCCCTGTCTCACATTGGGATATCGCTCGCACCTGAGATCCCTTGACTTGGGGCCGCACCAATCTCGCCGTTCAAGCACCTCACTGGCCAGCGGGAGCGTTTCAATCACGTCGTTTCAAACCATGATTTCATGGAGGGATGTCCTGGCATTCAACACAATTCCTCTGCCATTCGAGCCGTCCAACGGCGCTCGAGGCACGAACAGCGTTGTTTGTCGCGTGCCCAACAGCTGGCAAGTTCTTCGGCACCGCTGAAGCACCAAGCAGCAATCTTTCGGGCATCATCGGGCCAGCGGAGGCCCAATTTTAAGCAATAACCACCAGGTCGTAAGACGCAAAGAAATCCGACAAGCTTCCGGTCTTAGCTTTCAGCCTCAGCTTACGTTGGCTTCCAATGATAATAGCAGTCCCCTTTCCACCGCGTGGATGCGCTGCATTTCAACCTCCGGGTCATCCATCTATCTGCGACCCATTACACAACCTCGATCCTGACTTCCGAGCCGTAACACCCCATCGGATCCGGTATGTCGTGGGACCAGGCTTCCAGAACACATTGTCATGCCCTGCCGTCCCCCTTTCGACCTAAGGGACTTCATGCTGGTTTCTGCCAGCTCATCCCAGCCTCCAACGGCGCGCTCGGCAGCTAGCTGTGCTGACTGCCGGGACATCCTCGAGTGTCGTCAACCGCGGAGCCTCCCTTTCTGCTCCATGTCCATGATGTTCGCTTGTCGATAGCAGCGAGAAGCAAGCCCCTTAGTACAGAAATAGCCTCTTTTTTGCGTCTTCCACAACCCATGCCAGGCCCTCCTTGAGGTTGGTGCCTGTCATGGCGCTACATCGCAGGATGTGCCAGCGATGCGTTCTGATGGCTTCTAGTCGTAACCCCTGAGAAAAGGTCAGCGTGTCAGCCTCGGGTCGCCAGGGGTGACCGGGACGTACATCGAGTATTTCCTGCTCATCCATGCATCCGTTCACATCCGTTTTGTTCGCAAAAACCAGGAGACTGGCTCCCGAGAGCCGCTGTTATCCATGTCAGCCCTATCGAGAGAAGGGGCCTGCATCCAACAGACCTCTTCTTGCAAAAGCCCATGCAGTTCCTCCATGCAATCCTGGATTCTCAGCCGATCTGTGGCGTCGACGACCCAGATCAAGGCGTCTGTCTTCTCAAAATAGTTCCGCCAGTATGATCGCAGCGTCTTTTGGCCGCCCACGTCCCCTGCTGCGGTCAGAGGGCTGGTCACCCGTATGAGAGAATCACCCACAGATGTTCAGTTTGTATCTGAGCGGTGTCAATCAGCAGCACTGGGAAGTGGAGGACGCTCAACGCACCCATCGTAGTCGATAGTCTTGATGATGAAACCCAATGTTGGGCTCACCGTGTTGACATCCTCTCCCATGATCTTCTTGACAATCGTTGTTTTGCCCGCATTGTCAAGACCTCTGGTGAGTCTGTCAGCGGGGTCGGCCAAGTGTTGCGCACTCGCAGACTGACAGCATCAGGATTCGCATCTCCTTGTCCTTTAGGCGGGCTTTCCGTAAGATGGACAGCATTTTAAAATAGGTGTGATGGTCTGTGGTATAAGGTATCTGAAATGGGCGTCTGCAAGATTCTTGATTTGTCTATCGTGATGCTGCTTCTTGCATTATTCACGTTGACCGATGCAGACTGCTCTAATTCGGGCGCCTGACTGGACCAAACTGGGCACGTGACACTATCGGGCATGCGGTCTCGGTCTGGCTTCGGTGAGGGACAGGTCATTGGCGTCTCACCGAGTACACCGACCACTTCAACAACTACACTCGAGGCTGATTTTCGTCCTCGTCTATCAAAGACATATCTTTTCGAATCGGGCAGTGCGAATCGAGCAGTGACAAAAGTACATCTAGCAATTTGACCTGTCAAATTCTGAAATTTATTACCTAAATATTAAGTCAAAGACAAGTGAGATATATATAAATCGATGAAGATGCTCAAACTCAACTCCTTCAAAGTCATCAAGAATATTTTTAGCAGCTTTGCGTTCTGAAGCCTGGATCGAATCTTTCTTCCAGAGTCAAGCAGACCAACCCTATCTGATGGGAAGGCACCTTCCCAAAAAAGCAGCTGCTCCTGCCTTTGATATCAGAGAACTCTCCCACACCAGACCACCCGTTCGTTTCCTTTTCCTCTTCTTCTTACCCTCCCCATCCCCACCCACCTACCTCTCTCCTTCTCCCACACGGCAACAGGTTTTGTGAAACTTGGCTACAACACCAGTAGCAGTGACAAGTCAAGGCACTACCCTGACTTTTCCTACCCAAGTTCACAGTCGCGCCAGAGGCATCTAATCTCCTTCATTACAGGTTGCCGCGTTTCTTTTTTTTTTTTCGGTCAAAAACACCTACACGCGCGACCCATCCTCCTCTTTCCCTCTCAAGAACTTCACAGCCGACAGGCAAAGCAGTGAGATCTTGGTCTTCCTTCCTTAACACCCCTTTCATCCAAGCCAGCCTGTAAGTGTGAGCAGCAACAATTGCTCAGCCTGAAAATCTTTTGTTGGATCCTTTATACTGATCTCACAACAGACATCTACCAGCCCCAAAGGTGCTTGATTTCTCTGTCTCAACCACACCGTCTACTCGTTTGAGATAGAGCCAAGAAGTCACTACAATGACCGAGGCAGATCAAGACCGTGGTGGCCGAGGCAGAGCCCCAGATGAGAACACTCGTCGCCGCCAGGGCAGCCCTTACCCTCGCGCCATCATCAGCTCCTTCTCTGCAGGCACTATACCTTCCCCGACCAGCATGCCCTGCCCCACTGCGACTTCCTCCCCGATGCAGCTGCCGGTTGAAGACAGCCCCAACGAGAAGCCTCGAATCCCTGGCATTCCTTCCCTCTATTTTCCCATCCAGAGAAGCCCTGGCCCTAAGGTAAACGAACCTAGCCAGCGAACCTCTATCCGCTGGGACAAGAATCTTCCTCTTCCCGACCGGAAAAGCCCTACCTCACCTGTCAGCAAGATCCCGTCAAGCCCTGAATCACCAGAGCCTATTCCGCAAAAGAACCGCGATTTCAGCTACGGCAGCGACTTTGTGCTTACTCGAGATCACGATCGCTACTTCCTGGCAGGACAGACTGAGAAGCAGGAGGAGGCAAATTCCACTACGAGCAATACGCAACAGAGAGGCAGCTCGCTGCACACCGACTCCGAAATGGCTTACTCCGACTACTCCCGTGGCCCTTCGGCTTTCGGTCGTCCCACCGCGCCTATCACGCGCGTGTTTAACGAGGAAATCGATCGTGCTCAGCTCACCCAGAGTGCCTTGCAGTCAATCCCCAATGGAGAACAGCACACCGGACGGGAGTCAAGCAACAGCCGTTCCTCCTGGGATGTTAGCGCTGACGACGAATCTTCGAACGATGGAAGTGTTTCTTCACGCGTTGCGCCGTTCACACCCAGTCCCATCGTCGAGCAATGGATCCAAGATCTCCCTACAGGTATCGTCTTTTCACTGTCAGACTGCGCTCGCGACGACTGGGAGTACGAGTTTGGTATCGATCCCGAGACCGGAGAGATGATGGAAGAAGTCAAGCAGCCCAACACGATGATCGACTGCGACGAGGAGGGCAAGATGACTCAGAACTGGATTCATCGCCGTCGAGGAATGACCAGCAATGTACTGGTATACAAGGAGATTGACGTTCGTGCCAAGATCATGAAGCGACAGGAACAGGAGCGCATCAAGAACCGAGCCAGAAAGACGGTCAAGCAGATTCAAGACCAAGCCGTTGGCCGCTTGCCCCAGCCCAAGGAGGCAGAGAAGCACAAGGTGCAGCCTCTTACCGACTACACTCTCCGTCCCGCCTCACCGAGTGACGCCAGTGGCTGCGCCAAGACCTACAACCTCTCCGTCACGGCCCAGGAGCCTCTTGCCGACTCGACCAACGTCTCGACGCAGCATTTCGAGTCCATTTTGAGAGAGTGTTTTCAGGAGAAGTTGCCCTTCGTCGTCGCAACTCAGACGAGCGTAGACCTCCGCGATCCCAAGAACTGGCCCTCCCGTGCTTCCCATCGCCAGTATATGCAGCAGTTCCAACATCTGCTGGAAAACCAGCCCAAGAACGATAATGAGACCATCTGCGGATTTGGGTTCCTTGCTCCGTATGAGAAGGGTATTAGCTTGACCACGGGCGCCGCTGCAGACACCGCGAAGGTGGTCGTTTTTGTCCACCCTGATCATCGCCGCAACGGTGTTGGCAGCGCCTTGCTCCACCGACTGCTTTCACAGACATCTTTGATGTTTCACGGTCATGCTCAGTACGAGTGGCGTGACCCCGACGCTGTCGATGATGGATTCCATCGGCCCGACTTCAAGCCTATTCACCGTGAGTTTCTCATATGTCTGCTGGATGTCACCCAACTAACAAACGGCAGGCATTGTCATGCATGCTATGGTCCAAGGCAAGGACGACAAGCATCAGTGGATGAGCAAATTCATGAAGTCGTTCCAGTTTGAACCCTCTGGAATGCTCAACCAGGTCTACAAGGTCGAGAAGCCCAATGGTATCGACTGGTACGATCAAGCTGTCTGGGTACACTGGGCTAAGAACGCCGGCAACGGACGCACATTCTACGCCGAATCCGAGTGCTCTTATGACTATCCTGGCAAGCCTCACTCGCCCGTCAAGGTTGCGGACTCCTGCCCGCGAGTCGAGTTCCCCAACGGCCCCGACTACGAGAGTGATGATACATACTAGAACGTCTAGAATGCGTCTACTTGAGGCTATGAGAGGTCTACGACGCAGCTCACGCTGAGAGTTAGCAATGTCACAGATGTAAGATTTTCTTCGCTTATTGTGGTTGCAACTTACTGACTTCGTCGCAGAGTCACCCGTGAACGGTGGCCACAAGAATGACAACAAGAATGTGCAATAACGAATGAGTTTGCTGACGCCGAGTCAACGAATCTCTCGAGAATCATGAGAATGGCACGGGTTGCGGAGGCAAACCCTCTACCGCAAGCAATCGAGAGGCCCCGGCGTACCGCGAAGTGTATTGTCTGAAGATTTCAATCATCAGACCCACGCAACTGTTCGAGAGAGCCGCCTCCGGATCTTTCTCCTCTGTCTTTTCCTTTTCAAGTTTTTCAGTCCGTGTCTTGAGCCTCATAATATTTGTCAGAGTACCCGAGGGAAGACGTAACGTTGCCAGAGTTGTGGAAGTGAACCGGATCAATGACCGTCTGGGGAGAAGGGAAGGGTTTGTTGGTCATGGGAAGCTTGGTTTTGCTCCTTCGTGCAAAGGTTGGGACTCCTCAATGCCAGTATGGGTGGCCGACAGATCCGGACCTTAGAAAACCTTGGAATGTCACTGGTCTCTAGGCAGATAGCTCAAAAGTTTTTGTTTTCAGTCTCCGATGCCAGTGACAAAACGGAGAGCAGATATCTAAAAATGGGAAAAGAACGTGCACTCTCGTAGACCTACCATAGTGCTCGCCGCTATGCTAATCCTATCAAACAAAATGCGCAAATCCTACACGATTAATAAAATAACCTACCGCTGCGAATTTCCATATATCACAGTCTGGGCATCATCCGCATACCTATCATGCCCGTTCCGGAAGCCGCCCATGATCTGGCTCCAGATATGATCTTGATTCGCCGGGGGCGGGCGGGCATGTTCCGAGGGGGGCGTCGACGAGGAAGACATCGCATCTTCACGTCTAGACTGTCCAGAAGACACTGTTGCCGGATGAGAAACAGAAGTGCGGCGGGACTCTACCGTGGACGACCAGCTGCTTGTACTTCCTGGCCCGCGACCACCCCTGGAACCACTGCTGGAACCGTTCAAGCTCCCCGCTTCAAACCTAGCCTGCCATGCTTTACGCGCCGTGCTGGCCGCGCCGCTCACCGCTTCCTGAGGCTTGCGAACAGTCGGAACGGGCGCCGGAGGCCGGTTGACTCCTGCCGCTGTTACGTCCTGTGTCACGGGGTTATTCACGCGACGGGAAGAGGGGGAACTCACTGCTTCGCTTGCGCGGGTGCTGGAATGGTTAGTACTGCGGGCGGATCTTTGGTTTGCTGGACTTGCCGAGCTGCTGCTGTCATGAGCCCGCTTGTTATCTCTTCCGAGGGTATTCGCAATCTCCTGAAGCTCCGCACGAGCCTGTGATTCTCGCTGGATCATCGAGGCCGGGACCGAGTACGTTGACGTTGTCGAAGGCCGACGACGGAGGGACGGCGCCGGCTGGGGAACGGCATTCTGCCCCAGGGTCTCCATGCGAGTGGCGCTCAGTCTGGTTTGCTTTTGATGCTCGGAGGTGCCGACAGATGGGGTGGTTGGCCTACGGATATCGCCTGGTCGGTAGTCGGCGGGGTGGTAGGTGGTGGGGATTCTCGGCACGCGTGTATCTTGGGATGGTGTAGGTGGTGGACGAGCAGACTGATCGGGGTTGCGTACAGACGTTCTCTCTGAAGCATCTCTGGGGTAAGAGTGTCGAGCGGCATCGGATTGGTGTCTCGAGCTGGACGTCGGGGGTGGTGCGTGGGCTGAATGCCTAGAGTTGCGTG